AGAGAGAGAGAGAGAGAGAGCGAGAGCGAGAGCAGAGAGATACACTTTATTTTAAAAATATCATTTTCAACAAAAGCAGACAACACTTTGTAGTCGCCATACGATACATAATGATCGAAAACGGCAACTGTGGATATCATGAATAATCGTTAGTTTGTGAAGAAGAAGTGATCACTAGAACATGGCGTTTCGGGGTCTCTCACGAACCCATCATCAGTGATGGTTATAGAAAAGAGTAATAGTTGCGTGGTTGTCAGGCCACAACACACCTTCTATAGTTGGTAGTCTTCGTGTTCATCGCGGCGGGTCGCAGTTCAATCGATGCCAGTTTTTGGTCCGTGCCCGAGCCATTAATTGCGGGATAATTCAATTGACCTTATTGTGAAAAATTTGGCGGCCTCGGTGGGATTCGAACCCATGCCAGCAAGGGAGGGCTTGATTACAGCCAACTTGGCTATCGAGGCCCCACCGCAGCCGCGAATTTGATTACACTCAGGTTGATTTACCTGCCCAGCCTACTGCAACGTATGGAATCGACCTATACTGATACAACAAGCTGGCTGCCGAAGCAGGATTCCCTCCCCCTTCCTTACCCTTCTAATAATTAAGGGGTGGAGAGCTGTTAACGGACCAAAGAATCAGATTCTATTCATGATTAGGGTCCAGAAAGAAGGGGGGAGAGAGATTCGACAATTAGTTCATGCCGCCCGTCGTCATTGTCTCGCGTTGTGTTGGGAGGCCTCAGGACGCATAGTGTCACGGTCTCGCGACTGGGTAGGCGCATGCCGAGTTGGCTTTTAGCTACGGGAGCCTTAGTTAGCCGTACGGCAAATACGTTTGCCGTCGCAGGAATGGTTGGTTGCTTAAATTTTTGTTCACTTTACCGTCCTCTATGTTGTATTTGCCTGACGATGAGTAATCGAAAACGTTCGTTCGCTTAACCTGACTTCCTGTATGATTACATAACTGTTGTCAGCTCGTGGGGTCACAATTATTCGGCAATTTGGGTCGCCGCCGTCACTGAGACTGTTGGTTGGTTAGTAGCCCCGCCGGAGTCCAAACTGGATGCAGTTGGGAGATGGAAAAAAGCCGCGGCCTCAGCCGGCTTGAGCCAAAGGTCCACGGGGGTAAGTGGGACTGTTGGCCACCCAGGCAAAAAATATCAGCCACGGAGAGGGGGAGGATGTAGTTGACCCGCATCGCATCACCAGTAGGGTTAAATCATTACCGAAAAAACAAGGGAAACTATAGCCAGTCATGCCGCCTATTTGCCTAGACTACTAGCCGCTGTGCGGACCGCTAAAGCGGGCCTCGAGGATGAGCCCCGAGGCAGAGCGGGACGAGAGAGAATTCTGTTAGTGATCGGTAAACGTTGATCAATGAGTACAGTAGGCGCGCGGACTGGTCTAGCAACCACGCTCCGTATGAATACTGCGCCACTTGTGCCCCCTATTATCGTTGATGATTATCTCTGATGATTGGCTCTAATATGTGCTAACATTTAAGGAAAATTCTTACGCTTCTGTTTGTTGCTTTTCAAAATTAAGCATTAACGGACTTTTATTTTGAGGCTAAGTCTAACCTCTAAGTTCCCTCCTTCTAGATCGCTTTCTCGCACATTCTTCCCAACTTTCAAGAATGTTGGTGGGACAGCCTCCTGCTGGACATCGTGTTCTGCAACGGTTTAGGCATTTGGGCTGGAATGCTTCTTTGCAAGTGGTTTGATGCTCGCAGTTACGAGTGGGAATCGATTCGGGATATCCGTTCTACTCGAGGAAAACTCAAACGTCTGGTCCTCCAGTTCACGCCTGCTAGGTTAGTCTCCTCGCAAAAGCACATTCGCATGCTAACCCAAAAATTTCAACCCCTTTCTTACAGATAGCCTATAATACTATGAAACATACTGCCCACTCGATGTCAGTAGACTGTTTACCTACATTAATGTCGGCTCCGGTAAACATTTTGATAATAGAAATTCAGCGGGCGTGTTGTATGCTGCTATTTCCCAGCCACCTTACCACTCATAGTTCATAAATATTTTTATGCATCATCATTACCTTTTATGTACCCTTTCAATGGAATTTTAAGGGCTCCCGTCATTTTCTCTAAATATTATATTGGATGATACTGACAATCAAAGCAATCATTCTGATGCACACACACCTTTACTTTTCCTTTTTTTACCTTTCAGTTGGACACCAACCCACTGGCTAGATCGCAGTTCGACGATTAAAAGAGCCTTTCAGCTCAGCATCTTAATCGTTTTTTGGCAGTTGGCTGAGCTAAATCTGTTCTTCCTGAAACACATCTTCATTGTGAAACCCGGTCACTGGCTTACCCAACTTCGAATTGCCATTATCACACTGTCATCCGCACCGGCTATTCGGTACACTTTCTTGAAAGCACAACCTACTTACACAAACTAAGTAGACACGTTTTACTGTATGTTTGTTTTGGTTTTTAGACAGTTTTATCATTACGTCACTGACGACCGGGTTACACGAGTCGGCTCTCAGATGTGGATCTTCACGTATGTTTTTGGACTAAGTCAAATTTTCCATTCGTTTATTTTACGCTGCCCTTCACTACCGC